GATGTTTAAGTTATAGATAGCTTCCTGAAATGGACCACTTTTTCTTTCTTTTTTTTTTTTTTTTTTTTTTTGAGACGGAATTTTGCTCTTGTTGCCCAAGCTGGAGTGCAATGGAGTGATCTTGGCTCACAACAACCTCCACCTCCCAGGTTCAAGCGAATCCCCTGCCTCAGCCTCCTGAGTAACTGGGATTAAAGGCATGTGCCACCACGCCTGGTTAAGTTTTTATTGTTTTAGTAAAGATGGGGTTTTTCCATGTTGGTCAGGTTGGTCTTGAACTCCCGACCTCAGGTGATCCACCCACGTCGGCCTCCCAAAGAGCTGGGATTACAGGCATGAGCCACTGAGCCTGGCCTATTGGGCCACCTTTTATATTTCCGTTGTTGACTTTGCAATTGTACCTCTTCCATATAAGCTAATACTTAGCATTCTAGCTCTAGTCTTGAAGACTGCAAGAACAAATCATGTACTTATTTTAAAATGTGTAGACTAAAACTATGGGGTTTTGTTGAAGTCGCCTGTCAAAATCTACTTAAAATGTCTGAATAAATATGTATATAACTAAGATGTACCAGGTACAGAAGGCCCCTGCATGTCTTTACCCAATTTTTTAAACTCTAAATATCCAAGTTAATATAATATTTCTGTGTTTAAGTGAGAAAAACTCATAGTGCTTTTTTTTCTTCAATCAATTCAAATTTTCCTGAGAAAAAGCAAAGCTTCTGGCCGGGCATGGTGGCTCACACCTGTAATCCCAGCACTTTGGGAGGCCAAGGCAGGTTGATCACAAGGTCAAGAGGTCGAGACTAGCCTGACCAACATGGTGAAACCCCATCTCTACTAAAAATATAAAAATTAGTTGGGCGTGGTAGCACATGCCTGTAATCCCAGCTACTCAGGAGGCTGAGACAGGAGAATCGCTTGAAATCAGGAGGCGGAGGTTGCAGTGAACCAAGATCGTACCACTGCACTCCAGCCTGAGTGACAGAGCGAGACTCTTTCTCAAAAAAATTTAAAAAAAGCAAAGCGTCTTTAAGTTTTATCAAACACAAAGAAATCAATTTAAAATACAGTGGATAGCAAAAAGGTCAAAATCTTAAAAACTGTTAGAAATTATAGTTGTCTTATTCTTATGCCATCTGCAGACTCCTGAATAAGTATTTTCCCAAGGTTCATACTACTGCTATATCCACAGGCTTCTAAAACAGGTTAAAAAAATGCAGATGCTGAAAACATATGGACTCTATTACCTCTACAATACTGAGATCAGACTGTAAGTCTGTTGACATAGCTTCAAACTTACAGACATCCGTTAAGAAACTAATTTGTGGCCGGGCGCGGTGGCTCAAGCTTGTAATCCCAGCACTTTGGGAGGCCAAGGCGGGTGGATCACGAGGTCGAGAGATCGAGACCATCCTGGTCAACATGGTGAAACCCCGTCTCTACTAAAAATACAAAAAATTAGCTGGGCAAGGTGGCACGTGCCTGTAATCCGAGCTACTCAGGAGGCTGAGGCAGGAGAATTGCCTGAACCCAGGAGGCAGAGGTTGCGGTGAGCCGAGATCGCGCCATTGCACTCCAGCCTGGGTAACAAGAGCGAAACTCCGTCTCAAAAAAAAAGAAACGAATTTGCAATTTTCCCCTTTTAAAAGGACTATTACTTCTGATGCAGTACTGATATAAAATAAATGTATCCTTTGAGCATAGCAAAAAAAAAAAATCTTTTGAGTATAGCTGGAAAAGTTTTGGTTTTGATTTAAATCTGAAGTATCAGGCTGGGCGCGGTGGCTCAAGCCTGTAATCCCAGCACTTTGGGAGGCCGAGGTGGGTGGATCACAAGGTCAAGAGATCGAGACCAACCTGGTCAACATGGTGAAACCCCGTCTCTATTAAAAATACAAAAAATTGACCGGGCATGGTGGCTCAAGCCTGTAATCCCAGCACTTTGGGAGGCCGAGGCGGGTGGATCACGAGGTCAAGAGATCGAGACCATCCTGGTCAACATGGTGAAACCCCGTCTCTACTAAAAATACAAAAAATTAGCTGGGCATGGTGGCACGTGCCTGTAATCCCAGCTACTCAGGAGGCTGAGGCAGGAGAATTGCCTGACCCCAGGAGGCGGAGGTTGCGGTGAGCCGAGATCGCGCCATTGCACTCCAGCCTGGGCAACAAGAGCGAAACTCCGTCTCAAAAAAAAAAAAAAAAAAAAAAAAAAAAAAAAAATACAAAAAATTAGCTGGGCATGGTGGTGCGTGCCTATAATCCCAGCTACTCAGGAGGCTGAGGCAGGAGAATTGCCTGAACCCAGGAGGCAGAGGTTGCGGTGAGCCGAGATCGCGCCATTGCACTCCAGCCTGGGTAACAAGAGCGAAACTCCGTCTCAAAAAAAAAAAAAAAAAGAATGTTGTCACAGAAATACTCCAACTTTCTGTTCTTCCTAAAGCATTGGCCTTCAGTAACCTCCTAAATCTGAGGTTCTATGGTTTAGAAACAGTAAGAAAATACGTAGAATTCTTAATAAGCATCACTTAGTAATTGAGTCTGAAGTACAGTTATAAACTGAAGAACACCATTACTAACTTGCTATATACAAATCACTTCCTTACTCATCTCTTGGCAATACTCTCTATATTAAATCATTTAACTTTAAGTTTAGGAATGGGAGATGAGTCTCTAGTTTTACATATTAAAAGTGGTTCATACCAAAATACAGAACTCAAAAATATGCAGAACAGACTATCCTACTCTTCTATACTTAGTAACCTAAATTAAAGTCAGAAAAATAAAAATTACACAGTTTGTGGTTCTCAAGTAGCATTACCTTAAAGTGATAAATTCATTCACCTGTCTTTGTCTTTGAAATCCAAAGTCTATCAGAAAATGTTTATAAATGTGTCTTTTCTCAAGGTCCCTGAAACTATCATGAGAGCCCATAACCCCAGAACCACATTAACTAACATATTATAAAGGGGAAATATCTGATTTAAACATGATCCAGACTACCCAAAATATCCGATTTCATTTGAAACGTGACACTTCAGTCACTTCATTTTTTTTTTTTTTGAGACGGAGTTTTGCTCTTGTTACCCAGGCTGGAGTGCAATGGCACGATCTCGGCTCACCGCAACCTCTGCCTCCTGGGTTCAGGAATTCTCCTGCCTCAGCTTCCTCAGTAGCTGGGATTATAGGCACGCGCCACCATGCCCAGCTAATTTTTTGTATTTTTAGTAGAGACGGGGTTTCACCATGTTGACCAGGTTGGTCTCGATCTCTCGACCTTGTGATCCACCCGCCTCGGCCTCCCAAAGTGCTGGGATTACAGGCTTGAGCCACCGCGCCCAGCCTTCAGTCACTTTAAAACAGACACCTCTTTAAAACTCTTCCTCTCTCTCATTTGCTCCCTAAAGTTTGAAAATTCTTCCAAACCCATCTTACTATAAAGCGACCACTTAAATTGACCCTTTTCGATTTAAAATATTTTAAACAAGAATCTTAAAAGTTAAATGATCTCAACTCATAGAAAAATTAAAATTTACTAATGGGAAAACGATTGTATTCATTTTCATGTTTTCAGTATTTCAGTATTAAAGCCGCACACCTTAATTACATGTTTATTCAATTTACTCTTTCAAAAATATTCGCAAATACACAAAGGACTAACCTCTTTCAAATAAACAAAACTTGCTCAAACCACTGTCACTACATTCTGGCACAGGATAAATTTACATTTCATATTTGCAAAACAAATTGTGGTATGCTGTTGTTTTGGCTAGAAACACAGGAATCAATTAATTCTCAATAACCAGAAGGAGATTACTTTATATGAAAGAGCACCATTCAAAGAAAAACATTTTTCAAATATGTTGGTATTACCTGGAGAGCTAGATGTCTGGGGTTTGTGAGTCTCTCTGTGCTTGTTTAATTCTAAAAACAACCTCTCTTCAATTCCTTTCAAAAATCAGTATTTTCTTCAATAAATATAAGCATATACTGTACAATAAAATGCAAAAAGATATGTACTTCCAGAATGCTATAATAATCCAAATAGAAAAAAAAATCGTGTTTTAATTTTCCATACAGCAAGTCAATGTTAATCAATGTCATTTTTTCCTCTTTCTCCTTAAACATTCCACATATCAGAAGCACTATATTTATATATTTAATAAGATTAACAAACTGACTAGAAGCTCCAGAGGAGTAAGGGAAGAAGAAATCATTTTTGTAATACATTTTCCCACAACAAAAAGATAAAAGCAAATACGACGACTTGTTATATGAGAAGCATTTGAAAAACCCAGCGTGACCAGCTTTTGATTTACCTCAGTCTGACAAGGAAGAGGACCCCACCCCCATTCCAGATTGTATGGCTTTTTTTTTCCTTGGGTAGGGGTGTGGAGAAGAAGCTGTCACATTTCCATCTTTGGTTATTGTTAGTCCGAAGCCTAGATTCCCAAGCATCGCTGGACCAGGGGGAAAAAATCCTAGAGTAGACCATTAAAACTGTCTGAAACATGCAGTATTTTGTTGAGGCTTTTTTCCCAGGGTTAAAGTTAATTACATCGAGACTCAATCGGCTAGGGCTATAGGTTGCCTCTGACAGTCTGCCCCTCAAATGCTCCCTCTAAAACGCTTGTTCCAGATTTACTAACAATCCGCTCCTCTCCAAACTTAAATTAGGAAAACGCATTTGTGAAATTATTACGTCCAAAGAGGCATACCTCCCCATTCTCTTTGCCTTTGGTATGGGGAGTAGAAAGAGTGAAGAAGAGTGATCTATTCGCTCATCAAACAAAAAGAAATGGGGATAGAGGGTCAGTGGAGGAAAGAGCAGTGGTGGACCTGAGTTAAAGGTTGAAAAAAGTTTTTGTGACTCGTTTGTCCTTGGGCAGGGGTACAGCAGTTGGGCAGAAGACCGGGGTCTCGGCCCCAGGGCTCGGGCAGGGAAGAGGCACCTGCGGAAGAGGAGGCTGAGGACCCGAACGCGGCAGGCGAGCACCTACCGACTTGCAGCACGTTCTCCACGGAGCCGCTGTCCAGCAGACGGATGCCCCGGCGGAACGGGAGCCCCTCGCCACCGCAGCCGGCCGCGCCGGCCCCTGCGCCTAGCCCGGGGGTTGCCCCAGCCGCGACAGTCCCGGGGGCGGAGCCGGCCGGAGCGGCGGCCCCGGGGGGTGGTGGCAGCCCCTCCTCGGCCGGCGGAGCCCCCAAGGCGCCACCAGCCGCGCCGGCGCCGGGGCCGCCCCGGTACTGGAAGCTGGAGTACATGCAGATCTCCCGCTCATTCCGCGGGAAAGACCAGTAGACGATGCGGCGTTGCACGGGCTCCGGGATCCGCTCGAAGCGCTCCTCCACCCGTTCGTACGCCCACTTTTCTGCCACCGTCTTGGCGGCGCAGTCCAGTAAGGACTCCGGCTGCAGGTGGGGGCGGGCTCCGAGGGCCAGGCAGCTGCTGCCGACGCCCCCCGCCCCTCCGCCAGCTGCCCTGGGCGAACTGCGAGGGTGGTGAGCTTGCGGGCTGGGCCACGAACACAGCCGCTTGGCCGGAGAGACCGGCGACGGCGAGAGCAGCTCCTCACGCTCACCTCCGTCCGCCATTGCTGGGGACTAACTGACTGATTGAGGCGGCGGCAGCGGCTCAGGCTGCGGCGGAGACCCCGACCACGGCCACGCGCCCCGCGCAAGCGCCCAGCGGCGGCGCCAAGGTGGGCGGGGCTAGAGAACCCGCGAGCCAGCCGGCCCGAGTGGGGAGCCGGGGCCGGGCCCGGGCGCGCGCCGAAAGGGCCGACGCGGTCTGCCTGAGGACTAGCGTGAGGCGGCGCGCGCGGTCCGGGCCGCCGCGGACGCGAAGACAGGCGGGCGCGAGCAAGGGCCCGCGGCGCGCTCCAGACGCAGACAGCCCAGAACGCTAACCGACGGCTCGCTCGGAGCCGGCGGTCGCGGAGGGGAGAGGAGCGCCGGGCACTGTCGCCCGCCCGCCCGCGGACCTCCAGGCCACCTGCCGCCGGCCAGACAGAAAGGGACTGTGTCACCGAATGAAAGGGCGGGGCCATAAGGCTTCCGAGGAGCCGCCTCCGTGAAGTTACAGGCTCGCGGGGCACAAGGAGAAAAAACTCACACTCTAGCTCCAGCGGTACTGATGTGACAGGAGGCTGTCACAGCCGAGTGGAAGATCTGACAGAAAGACGCTGGGAAGAAGACACTAGGGGGAAAAAAATCAGAAAGTTCAAGTGATGAAAACTCGCCTCGCGCCACAACAATGTAGGATAAAGCTGGCGGTTGCCTCACCCGACCCCAGAGTGGGGACGAAGTCGCACCACCCCTTGACTGGACAACGGGGCGCCAAGATCTTAAGGCCTCCGCGGCTGCACGTTGATGGAGTCTTTTGGCGGGTTTAGCACCTTGCATCCTAGGATACAAAACACTTTTTGTGTGTGTTTTTGGTAGAATTCTTTGATCCCTTACCTCCAATCTGAATTAGGTCTTTCGTGTTTTCCTCACTTGGCTCAGTCTTACGCACCTTTACATAGTTATATGTTTACATATTTGTTTAATGTCTGACTGTCAGCTCCATGAGAGCGAGAATCATGTCTGTTTCCTTCACCATAATTCATCCTCTGCCTGGCACACAGAGGGTGCTCAAGAATGGCAACTTCATCACTAACTTCATCAACAACACGCAGTTGTAAGTGACTGTCTCTTGCTCGGTCAAGAAAGCCCAGATTATTTCAAAATTTGCTGACAAACTGATCTCTACAACTTTAAAATGTTCCAAGAACTGTATTAAAAGAGTTTCTAGCAAATTTTAGAGGGTAGGATCGAGTAAGAAGAGAGTAAATAATTGGAGACAGGCTGGAGCCACAGTTTGGTTTTGCTGTATTCTCAGAATTAAAGAGCACAAGTTATAGAGTCAGAATTGTGGGTGAATCACACCTGCTGTGTGTGATGCTGTTCATGACTCAGTTAAATCATTTGTAAAAGGGAGCTAGTAATAATGCTGCTACATGTAAATATTATAAGAATTAGAAATAATTGATTTAAAAGACAGGATCTCACTCTGATGTCCAGCCTGGAGTGCAATGGGGTGACCCTAGCTCACTCTAGCCTCAGCTCTTGGGCTCAAACTATCCTCCCACCTCAGCCTCCTGAATAACTAGGACTACAGATGCACAGCAGCACCACACCCAAGTAATTCTTTAAATTTTTTGTGGAGAGGAGGTCTCCCTATGTTGCCCAGGCTGGCTGGGATTAGAAGTAATTCAAATTTTGTGCTTATTCAGTGTAGTAGGTACTCAATAAGTCTCTGTTTAGGCCAGATGCAGTGGTGCATGCCTGTAATCTCAAGGCCTTGGGAGGCCAAAGTGGGAGGATCCCTTAAGCCCAGGAATTCCAGACCAGCCTAGGCAACAGAGCATACTGGAGACCCCATCTCTATACAAGTTATAAAAAATAGCAGGAATTGGTGGCCTACACCCTGTAGTCCTAGCTACTCTGAAGGCTAATGTAAGAAGATTGCTTAAGCCCAGGAGTTCAAGGTTACAGTGAGCTATGATCATGCCACTGTACTGTAGGCTGGGCTAAAGAGCAAGACTCTCTCAAAAAAAAAAAAAAAATCTGTTTATATTGGTTAATGGATTTATATCTGTAAATATCTATAAATAGATTACTGCAAAATAACATAATCCCTACTCCACCTTGAATCTGTTACCACATTTACAGGCTTCCATAACACATACTCTTTTCCTTCCTATAATTTATCAGAGTTTTTTGGGAGAATGAATATTCCTTTAATGCCAAAATGCCTACACATAGAAGATGTTCAGAAAATATTTGCACTTTGAATCAATGAATATGTTACTCTGATTTAATCAGCGTTTTTTTGTTTGTTTGTTTGTTTTTGAGATACAGTCTTGCCCTGTCACCCAGGTGGGAGTGCAGTGGCACAATCTCAGCTCACTGCAACTTCCGCCTCCTGGGTTCAAGAGATTCTCTTGCCTCAACCTCCCAAGTACTACAGGCGCATATACCACCATGTCCGGCTACAGGCGCATATACCACTATGTCTGGCTAATTTTTGTATTTTTTTTAGGAGAGATGAGGTTTTACCATGTTGACCAGGCTGATCTGGAACTCCTGGCTTTAAGTGATCCACCCACCTCAGCCTCCCAAAGTAAAGTGTTGGAATTACAAGTGTGAGCCAAGGCACCTGGCCTATATTTATGTGTTTGTTTGTTTTGTCTGTTTCCCAAAATAGACTATAAGCTCCACCTTAGGTGGGTGTGGTGGCTCACACCTGTAGTTTCAGCAGTTTGGGAGGCTGAGGTGGGTGGATCACTTGAGGCCAGTTCGAGACAAACCTGGGTGGATCACTTGAGGCCAGGAGTTCAAGACAAACCTGGCCAACATGGTGAAACTCCATCTCTACTAAATACAAAAATTAGCCAGGCATGGTGGCTGGCACCCGTAATCCCAGCTACTCAGGAGGCTGAGGCAGGAGAATCACTTGAACCTGGGAGGCAGAGGTTGCACTGAGCCGAGATCGTGCCACTCCCAGCCTGGGAGACAGAGCAAAACTGCATCTCAAAAAAATAAAGAAAGAAATAAGAAAATAAGCACATAAATATATAAATACAGATGATAATAACATGGCAAATAAGACATTTGGGAGTATGCAATATGTGGTTGGGAATAACAAGAATGCCTGATTAATTGGACCATAAGTTTGTGGTGAGAAATAGTGGGAAAAAACTGCAAGAGAGACAGGAGATATTGTGAAAAGCTGTAAAATGCTGACTTGAGGAATCTGCATTTTCTTAGGTTGGTAGAGGGAAGCTTATAAAAGTATTTTCAGCGGGAGAGTTGTATGATAAAAGGCAGTGTTTTAGGAATATAATCAGACAGAAATATGGAGGATGAATCAGGAGAAAGATAAAGTTTGGAGGCAAAGGATGAGTTTGGAAATAAACCAACAGTGTGTGAAGGAGGTAATAAAAGCTTGTAGAAGGCTTTGGATGAAAAGATAGTTAGACATTGGGCAAAAAGGGGTTGAAATCTGGCCTGCACTCCATTTGCCCATCTCTGCACCAACCAGGTTGCATCTGGATGCCTCTTTCTCATTCTCACCAAGTGACCATATGGACTAGCAATAGCTCTGGGCCTGTTTTACCTCTTTCTGTTTGATCTCTCTCCTCTGATGAGAGAATTGCCATATTTCAAAGAGACTGTGGGAGTCTAAAGATATTTCTTTTACAGTGTTGCAATGTCCAGGGTGAAAACACAAACACCAAAATCAATGACCAGGAAGAATACATCACATCTTAAGACAACTCTTTTGATGTCAGGAAAATTTTGATCCAACCTTAGAAATAAGTCTTTAAATTTGCATTTGTGAAACATCCTCAACCCCTCTGCATGGAATGAAATGATGAGATGAAGGTAAGGGATAGAGTGAGGCTGAGATGAGGATTTAGGTATCATTTGACAAGCAAACTGTATGCACCCAGGCATTTATTTAATAAAATTTATTTTGGCTTCTATTTCAATATGCAGAAGATAGAAACCTGTGTTTCCTGATAACACTTTGGGTATATAATAAACACTAAATGAAGTGGGAATGAGAAACATATTTAGGAACTAGAAAGGAAGACCATTCTTTTCTTTTCTTTTTTTTCAGACAGGATCTGGCTCTGTTATTTAGGCTGGATACAATTCAGTGGTACAGTCTTGGCTCACTGAAATCTCTGCTTCCTAGGCTTAAGCGATCCTACTACCTCAGCCTCCCAAGTAGCTGGAATCACAGGCATGTGCCATGACACTTGGCTAATTTTTAAATTTTTTGTAGAGACAAGGTCTACCTATATTGCCCATGGTGGTCTCAAACTCTTGGGCTCAAGCAGCCCTCCCATTTTGGCCTCCCAACATGCTGGGATTATAACACGTCTGCCTGGAATACCATAATCTGAATTGATAGGACCCATTCCCCAACTCTGCTATTTTTTTTTTTTTTTTTTTTTTTTTTTTTTTTTTTTTTTTTTTTAGATACAGAGTTTTGCTGTTGTTGCCCAGGCTGGAGTGCAATGATGCAGTCTTGGCCCACTGTAACCTCCACCTCTCAGCTTCAAGAGATTCTCCTGCCTCAGCCTCCTGAGTAGCTGTGATTACAGGTGCCTGCCACCATGCCTGGCCAATTTTTGTATTTTTAGTGGAGACAGGGTTTCACCACGTTGGCCAGGCTGGTCTTGAATTCCAGACCTCAGATGATCCACCCACCTTGGCCTCCGAAGGTGCCGGGATTACAGGCGTGAGCCACTGCACCCAGGCAACTCTGCTATTTTTCTTGTGGTAGACATTGTGGTTATCTTTCTTCAATTGTAGAGCAGCCATAAAATTAGAGGACTTTATCTCCAAGGGTAAGTGCTAACTTGTCTGATCAACTGGCATAATTCCATCTCTCATTCTAAAGTGATTCATCTGGGGATAAGCAGAGATAAGCCAATCAGTGTATAGCATTTCCCTGGTCATAGGGATTGGTTCAGGAATGAGCATAACCTATTGGGCCAATAAGATATGTGGTTTGCAAGCAACTTCCAGAAAAGAAGAAAGTTCTTACTCTTTTAAGAGAGCTTGCAAAAGCAATTCTTTTAGTGCCTTGACCCAGAAAAGGAGGTTGTTGGTACCATGTTGTGAATACAAAGGTAAGCCAGGCTTGAGTTGAAGCTGACATACTGAAAGATTTATGGGAAGGATGAAAAAATAAAGAGTCCCGATGGCATTGCTGAACAGATGAATCAAACCTACTTGAAGCCCTCTATCGACATCCAGTTACAT